CACCAGTGGAAGCTGTAATAGTTCGACCGTTCTGCCGACAAACCAAAGCAGTGGAAGTAAATAGTTCTCTTGTTGATTAGATGTTAAAATACTTGGTAAATATTTCGTTTAAAGCTAAGATGAAGAACAAAAGCACAACATTATCTTCAACACGAGAGGCAGCTCTATGGCTGAGTGGCTATTGCTTTTTAGTGTAATCTGGCATTCCCGGGTTCTAATCTCGCTCCGACTGCTAACTGGATTTATTTTTAGGCCATCCATCCCCGGCCTCGGCCCCCTTGTTGTCGCTGGTGCTGTTGCTGTATTTGTTTTGGTCCTCATATTTCCTTTTAAGATTATTTCTATTAGTTTAAATTATTTTAACGGGGTGCTTGTTAGCTAGCTGGAAATCTAAGTGCATTTTCACCATCAATAAACCCCAAGAGAGAATGAGCTTGATAAACCTTATTACTGTTTCAAACTTATTGAAATTCGACGATTCTGAGACGAATTTCTCCAGTCCAGATTTTTGCGTACCATTCGCCCAAACTGTGGACCAACCGGTTTGTCCATGCAAATGATAAAAACGCTATGTATAGCCAACAAGTTCATTCCTTCCGTTTGGGATTCTAAATTAGCACAACTTTGCTTGTGGTTAATTCGTTTTCCTTTTCAGTTTCTGCTTCCCTAACTATGCAGCCTACAAAAATATCCATGGTTGCGCTAAGCAACATTGGAGAAAAAAACTAGCACTATTTCAAGAAATTTTTGGCAAAAATTATTTTTGTTGTGTTTAATTTGAGACTTTTAAGCTAAAGCTGCGCGTTTTTTACTCGCTCCTTTTGATCTCGTGATTTTGCTTGATGCATGGCCTTATGCATCGAAAGACTGTGGCCGTGAAAAGGGTAGTTTACTTTGAATGTGGCGTTTGAATTTAGTGATTTATCAATCTCTAAGAGCCCCTTGAGTGATTAATATGCAAAATAGATTGTAAGGTTCATCCAGACCTGCTGATAATTCATTAAGAATGTGGATATTTAAGGGGAGTCTTTGCATCAATAGAACCGACTCCAAAAATAATGGTTAATTCTTTTGTTATTCAAGACTATATTCAGGCATTGAATGTTTCCTTTGGTTTGTTGCTGCGGATGGCAAGTAAAGACATAAATCATACGATTTAAGAGAGTGTCTCTGTAAGAGCGGTCCGGTCGATTTTGCTTGAGACACAGATTTAGCTCATTTCTTGTGTGTTGTAAGACATTCATGTACCTATACTAAAACCACAATCCGTTGGATCGGATCTCTTTATTTTTTCATAGTTTTACAGAAATTAAATTTCACTCGAGCGAAGACCTGTCGTGACACTTTTCAAGACGTTAATTTGAGGCAACTTTGGAGGACAATTTACAACAAACTACGGGACTCAGCGAAACACAAATACCACAGCCATGTATATTAACTCTATCTTATCCATCGAGGCGACTTTCGTGAACATCACGTTTCAAGCAAGCAAACAGGAAGACTTAAACGACACCTTATCGGTTCGCTTAAGTCACAAACGCGAAAACCGATCAAATTCAAGGTACATTTTTGAAAAAGTGAGGCGTTCTTAACTGATCCAACTAATATAGCTAGGAAGTAGGTGTCATAGAAAAGGTAACTACAGAAAAAAACTTTGCGGCCCGACCTTTACTAAAACTTTATAACTCCGTGAACTTACCTAATTTTCGGCAATCTCCAAGTTTTGCCGCCATTTTGAGGAACTTGTCAACATGAAGCGTAGCAGATATAGATCGAGCAGGTAGATCTAAAACCGTCAGAAATACATACGAAAGCATTCAAGTTCAATTCAAGGGGCAAAATTTGAAATTGTTCGTTAAACCTACCATTCCTACATCCCCATGCGACCGTTTCTTCCAACAATTCAAACACTACAACTAGTGTTCGAATTTCCCTCGTCGATTCCACCGTAAGAAATAACCTGTGCCACCCAAGCTTCGACTCGAATGTGAAGTACGAATCAAACAACATAACTGCTTCATCTTCGAGGCCATATCACGCTGGTATTTTGATTTTCTGATCGACAAGAACGGTGATCAGGAAGTGATCGCCATGTTTACCTCATAAACGTGACCGCTGACCAGCCGCTGAGTGAAAACAGTACGGCGCGGGGTGGTGTGGGTGGCGGAGTTATCGTCATAAGATATTCGAATACATGCTTATAAAGCTTTAGGACTCTCAGTCTAAACAGTGAAGGCATGCTTCATGGTACAGATACACTCTCTTAAATGCTACGCCTGCAAAAACCACCAAAAGATTATTACAGTTAGTGCTTCCCAATGGCGGAGTTCTCTCTCACGCGCGCAGCGGAGCACCCATCCTCGCAGACCCAGGGGCAGATAGTGGGCGCGAGGGAAAGTCTAAACGGGCCGAAAAATAGGGCACGAAGAAAAGTAAAGAACGGCGAGAAGAGCCCCTGGGGACAATGTCTTACCAGACCAGTTCCAAACGGTCACAGCCGTTCTGGCTGCTGATTGGTGCCAGAAAACTTTTGTGTTTTTCTGCCCAATCAGAAGCCAGAATGGCGGCGACCGTGTGGAACTGGTCTGGTAAGACATCGTCCCCAGGGGCTCTTTTCGCCGTTCTTTACTTTTCTTCGTGCCATATTTCACCCCCCCCCCGTTTAGACTTTCGCTCGCCCCCACTATCTGTCCCTGGGTCTCCGAGGATGCGCAGCACCATGGGTAAGAAAATTTGGTATTCTATGCATCCAAGAAATTTTGGTTCTGAGGAAATCGTCCGTACGGGGTACGTCCGTACGTACGTCCACCCGTTCATGTAAGCCGGGATGCAATTTTGCATTTCAAGCACCCGCGCGTTTCGGCGGTAAATCGCATAGCTTCCCGGTCTTTTAGGCATAAAAACAACAACAACAAAAGCCGATTCTTTCTTTCGACTTAATTTCAATGTCTTCATTGACGTGTATAACAGAGAAAGAGCTAGAGCGAGAGATAAAAACCAAAGGAGACCAATTTCGTTGGAAGAAAAACATAAAAATTTATAGCGGTGGTGACAAAAAGGGAAAATGTTAGCTACCACCGGAGTGAAAATGAGCGGCAACGAAAAAAAAAGTGAACAGGAACACAATACGACATTCGTCCTATAAAACGTGTAACTAGGAAGTATCTGGAAGTTTCACTTTGTAGTTGTGCAAAACAACGGCAAAGACATATGAAAAAAAAGCAAAAAAAAGAAAAAAAGTTGTTTTCGGCTAGTTAGAAAAAAAGTGTGCTAATTTGGGGTGCTTTCCATTTGTATGGAAAAGCCGGAAATTCCGGGGAGAATTCAAATGGAACGGTTCATTCCTTTGGAAATTTTCCGGACAAAAAGTAATACCTTTCGTGGTATTCCCTTTTTTTCCCGTTGTTACCGAAACAACCGAAATTTTCTGTACCATTTGTTTGGATTACCAGTACCAGGCTTCAAGTCGAGAGAAAGCGAAAAAGTTATTTGTATTTTGTGAATGGTAGAAGTCAATCCCGTTCCTGTTTTCGGTACCAGAAAAAAAAATACCAGTACCATTTGACGGAAGTTTTTCACCAAAATTTCCGCACAAATGGTAAGCGCTCCTAGACCTACCGATTTTTTTGGCTGTTTTCGTTGCCTTCGCCGCTTGGCGTTACACTATTTTATATTTTGTTCAGTAAACTATAGGTATTAACGAGAGCTTCGCTTTTAGCCCTGGCTAAATCTAATTATATTGTAATTGGGCATCGAGGAAAATCTTAATCAACCCTTACTGTTATTAAGGATAGATTTGGTTCTTTTTCTTTCATACAGGTTGTTCTGATCTATCCCCTAGCTTCTGTTCATCATTCGCTCATGGAAATTTCAGCTGTGTGAATAGTTTTAACTTCTCTAAAAAATATTGCGCAAAAACATGTGGTTTTTGTGGAGGTATGTATTAGGGACGCGAATATCTTGCCAAAAGCTGACATTATATCTTTAATTGTTTTTTATTATTATTATTTCTTTTTACTCTGTAAACAGATTTTTTACTGTTCATTTGTTATTTAATTTTATGTATTTATCTTTTCTCTTTGTTTTACAGCGGGCTGCTTTGATAGTCAGGTTATCTGCCCAGATCTCCCAAATGGCTTTTGTTCTGCTCATTTCTATTGGTCCTGGCAGAATTGTCGACGGTCGTGTGGTTTCTGTTCAGGTAAACATTCTACACCGAAGTTTTTGTCAGTTTAGTCAATTTATGTTGGCTCCGAAGCATAGGATAATAATATTAAAACTACTGATGATAATAATAATAATAACAATAATAATAATAATAATAATAATAATAATAATAATTTTTTTTA